TTATTATAAATATAGAGAGACATATCGGTCACATAAGAATTATGTGAAGTTCATTATTATTTTTTTCTTCTCTTCATGGCCTTTGAAGTTCCTTCATTCTTCTTATCTTCTCTTTTTTTGATAAAGATCTTCTTATCTTCTCGACTATCATATTTATCTTTCACCATCAGAATTTCTGCTTTCATACCACTCCTTTTTTTCTAGAGTCTTCAACACTTTATCCAGATTAAACTTACCAATGACCGTAACTTTTTGAGCATCAATGTCCGTTATACATTCTTCAACTCCTAATTAAAACATATAATTAGAAAAATAAATACAACATTACTAGCAAATCATATATATCGTGTGTATAATATATATCTCATTTTCTTGCCTTCAACAGCGCAAACAGTTTTCCTAATTTTTTCTTCGGATTTAACACTATCCATCCGAAGCTCCAACTCGGCCTCCACAATAACCCTAGACAATTATTAAGAAGCAAAGAAAGTGTAGAATCGTATAAGAAAATTGTAAAACTCTTATTTAGATGATATATATATATAATATATATATATATGTAGAGGTATAAGACACTCAACGTGTCAAGAGTGTTTCCTCGTGACTTCTTTGATAACCAACCCATCACACTCGATTTTCAAATTAGAAACACTAGAATTAAGAATCTTGTCACCGCAAATCTTATAAAATCTAATACTTTGAAGTCAAAACTAGAAAAATAGATGACATATATAGACAACATTTCACATAAAGAGATTTTTTTAATACAGATCTTAAAATAAAAGTTAAAAGCAAAATTTCTTTGTAAATCTTAAAAAAAAAAATCTCAGATTTCATACCATTAATATTTTTATGTAGTCACCTTTTGTAATTATGAATTATAGATTACACATGTTTTCCTATTTATTGGTATTGATTAAATAGGAAAACATACGTAATCTATAATTCATAATTATATTTATATTGGTATTGATTTCTAATGTTGTTCTTAAAGAAAAATATGTCGTTGTTATTAATTTAACAACTAGTAGAGGATTGCGCAAACGCGCGGTGTGACGTTGCAATTTTGTGAAAAAAATCTTAATTTTAAACCCCAGCTTGATTCAAAAACCCTAATCAAAATTTAAAAAACCCAAACTTTTTTAAAATGTCTAAACCCGAAAATCTGAAATAAAAAAAAATCCCGAAAACCAAATCCGAATCAGAAATTTAGAAAACCTGAACGGTTTTTATATCACTAAAATCTGAAATAACGACGTTAAAATATTGATATGTGTAAGTTTAAGTGTATAATGTCACTTGTTTAATAAATCATATTCAAGGTTTTTACGCCTTGAGTAAATCATATTCAAATTCTAGTGAAGTAACAGAAAATTAGTTAAGAAAGTATATATATTTAATAAGAAAGTAATGATTGATTTTTTTATTTTTATGTTATTATTTTTTAAAGAGAAAGTTTCTTTGTATCCTGGTGGAGGACCCGGCGGAGCCGGTGAGTGTTATAGCAATATTCCGGCAATCATTTCGTTTACTCAGACCGGGATACAAAACCAGTTGGTTCATGACTCTCAACCTTTTATCCCTTGAAAAGGAAACCATTTTTTATATGGACGATCGTAAAAGTACGAAAAATGGTATATATTGCACTAATACACACATATTCATTGAAAACAATTAATTTATGGGGAAATTTTACATTCGTACTTAAATTTTTTTGTCCTAGTTTTTTTTCCGATGTTTTGGATATATTGCTTTGTACAATTTTAATTCCTTGGACTGATCATGAAAATTAAAAGTGTACAAGATCTCCTTTTGTCTCTTCGTACAATAATTCAGTTTGATATTTGGTCGGCAGAGATCCACGGTGAACAGTATAGCACGATAAATTAGATTAGTGCAAAACCAGTCGCAAACATACTTTGGACAGGTTTTGCTCAATATGACCATTAACTTCCAAATGCGAGTTTCAACACATATTTTTTGAACAGTTCTCAAACGATAAGTTTACTACAATTGACTCATTCCGGAAGATTGTTTCTTCTTTTGATTGGGTGAAGGTTATAACTTTGGTGTGAATGTGGATTCGAATCAACTCCTAATGGGCTTGGCCCATACCCAACTGCCATTCCTCTTTGGCCCAAGTCGAAGCCTATCTCCAGCTGAAGTGGCGAAGTCTAACATCTTCTTCCTCTCCGTTTAAAGGACTTCTTCTTCATTTAAAAGACCTGCAACAAGAAACAGAGAGAGGACAACGAGAGAGTTAGTTACAGAGTGAGAAAACAAGAGAATCTAGACTAGAGAGAGAAAGACTTACGTCGAGGTTATCTCTAAAGAGATTTGAGCTGAGGCTCGCTTGTAACGAAGAGTGGTGATTTCCGGTGTATCGGAACCATAAGAGTTTTCCAGCGATAATGAAACGACGGGAGACGTGATTTCTCCTCGAGTGAGTAGGAAATGAACACTGGGTAAACAAAAACCTCTATGTCATTTCCTTTCCTGCACAATTAGATTGAATCCAATTAGCTAGATAAACGATCTAAATCTCTAACATTTGGGATATTGAGATCCCAATAACAACTCAGCTTTAGTTCTAAAGGATACAAGGAAATTAAAATACGAAACAAAGCACATGGGGTTTGCATTCACATCCAAACATCTCCTAGGCTAGGATACTATTTGTTTGGCCTTTTTTAATATGATTAAAATTAGTACTAATTCGTTTTTGGAGTCATTTTCAAACGATATAAAAAAACAAATTGTGGATGCTGAAAACCACACTCGAAATTTATAGGTTTTGCAAGGAAGAAACTTAGGGAGATTTAGGGCTAGATTTTGATGTAAGTCGAATGAATCGTAAGCAAGGATTTGGCTAAACGGAATTGTATTAAACGAATGAATGGTTACAATGAATTCTCAGAAGAGAGAAAGAACTAAGCTCAAAGGAAAATACAAGGAAAGTATGATAGTAATTAGGTCTAAATGATCGGAAGAAGTTGTAAGATCTCCCTTGATCCGACTGCTGTCAAGCTCCTTTTATAGCTCCAGAATCAGCTACGATCCACCTCCGCGTATCTCGCCACGTGCAGCTAACGATCCCGGTGATCTCGGACCAGACCGGATTTGAAGGAGATCTTCTTTGACTTCGTCTTTCTTCGCAGTGCCGACCTGGTCCTTGATCGAGCTGGAGCTCGTCTTTACGTCGACCGGAATAGCTCGGATGGCAGTTAACTGGCTTACGAGGGAGTCGCTTGGTGGGCTCGAGGTCTTCTTGCTGGGCTTGAGTGGGCCTGGACTTCAATCTTGGATCAAGGTAATGGGCCCTTACGGGCTAGATTCCAGGTGTGGAATCTGGGTCCAACAATTGCCCCCCAGCCCTTTTAAGTGAGTTTCGAACTTAAAACGGGCGGTTTGTTTTAATTTCAAAAATTCAAACTTTTGCCGGGCTAAATTCGAATTCCTCGATTCGGGGTATATTCGAGCTTATCCGCAAGGTTTGAACGGGGTAAAAGATCGCGGGGATCTCGTCGTTGGAAATTGCCTTAGGCATTAAATTTTTTCTTTTCTTCGAGGTGAAGATAAGATCTGGCCGTTGAATCGAGATGAACGGCTGAGATCGCGCAAATCTTGTCAACTCGCTGCAATCTCGCAAACCGAGCTCCTCGATAACGATATCGCATATTTTCAAGATTCGAAATGATTATGTTTTCGAATCGGACGGTTCAGATCGAGGAGAGCGAAGAGTCCGTGCGGCTGAGATCCGTTTGGGACCCACAGCGCGTCACATCATCAGCTCGTCGCATGCAAGCGGTTAAGATCTGTGAGTTGTACGGTCGAGATTCACGCAGAAAAATCGGATTCTTTGCGATCTCTTCAGCAGTTAATGCTGAATATAAACTCGACCCACTACTCTTCTCTTTAACCGTGCCCACGTTTTTGAAAAGGTAACTTCTCCTCTCTCTTTTACTTATTTATTTGCTTTCGAGTTTTAGATTAGATAACTCCAAGTTCTTGAAAATTATCGAACCTTTGCAAATTTCGAGCGTTTTAGGTTGTTTCGATTTCGAATTTCTCCAAAAACTCTTTCAACCTCTTTTTCCTCCGTCTCTCCTCCGACTATCATGCCTCCGAAGAATCGTCAAGCAAGAGAAGGGAAAGGCCGTCGACCTCGGCGGTGACGGGAATTCACGCCGCACGCCGAGACGACGCTCGACGCCGAAAGCCTCGACGCTTCCGGCAGGATTTCGGGATCCCGGATGAGATCGAACTCGTTCTCCGGCTGAGGGAGAGGACCCGGAGCATGTTCGTCCGGGGTTTTGCTGCGCCTATACGTCGTATTGGCGGAGCGCCGGGATGATTTTCCCGGTCCCTCGTTTTCTGATGGAAGCGCTCGCTCATTATAAGATGGCGTTTCCACAGATGCACCCGAGCTTCGTCCGCCACGTGATAGGATGTGCGGTTCGAGCTCGGGAAGAGGGCGTCTCGTTCGGTGTTCGAGATCTGAGAAAGCTTTTCTCGGTGAAGAACAACACCAGGCTTCCGGGTCGTTTTACTCCTCGCCGAGGCCGAATCGGCGAATATTCACGAACACCCCGCAGAGGGATAGCGGGTGGAGTGACGAGATGTTCTTCTTCCGGGTCAGCGAGGCCACGATGGGCGACTTCGACTTTGGTCGAATCCGAACGGAGTGGGCGACTAGCGTTGGTTAGCTTAGGCCGATTTCCGTTTAGGATAGCCGATACCTCGCTTGACTTATGGAATACCTCGTTTATTGATGATTTTTTTTGTTTGCAGTTGTAGATCCAGTACCGAACAACCCGGGGATTGATTACCTCGTCGAGCGACTCGGAAGGGAAAAGGTGAACTGGAGTACTTTTACTCCGGAACGGATCCGTCGAGTTCTCAGCTCTCCTCCTGCTCCTCCTCCAGGTAATAATCTCCCTTGGACCAACTAGAAATTCATTTTACGAACTCTTTATAACGAGCTGTTTATATAAATTTTCCAGCTGATCTTCCGGTTAGATCGGCGCAAGATTCTAGCTCCGCTTCTTCTGTTCCTCCTCTCTCACGCAGATCGAAAATGCCCGTCGTCAGCCTCTCAGATCCCGGACCGCAAAGGTGCCAAGGCGCTTCCTCGGGTGGAAGTCGAGTTCGTGCCGGCGAGTTCGTAACGGCGGTGGAGGAGGCTATGGCTTCGAAGCCCACGGCGGGGTCTTCTGCCCTTGCCGACCAGGTGGTTGACCAGGTCGACGCGACCGCTGAAGGAGAGGTCGTTCCTCTCCCGAGTACGGTTCATGTGAGCTCCGATCGGACTCGGAGTTCGGATCAAGGTCACTCGAGGCAGGCGCCGAAGCGAGCTCGGAGTGACGATGGAGAGACTCGTTCTCGCGAGGGCGGCCCGACTGCCTCGAACGGGAGCGGGGGAAAGCCGCCGTTTTACTGGCAGTACGAGAACTCCAGAGGCTTCCCCGTTCAGGACGACGAGGAGGGAACAGCTCGCATTCAGCTCCACTTCAAGCCCGTCGGATGCCGGCTCCCGTCCCTGAACCAGATGTCTGAGAAGGAGCTCTACATCGCGACGTGCGCTGCGAGTGGGAGGGTAAGAACTGTTTCCCTAGTCAAAACTTTAGACGAGAGTCTTTGTTGTTGTTTTGGCCTTGGTTGAATTTTTGTTTTTGTTAGGCTGTGGCAGCTCGTAACATGTTGGTGTCCCGCCTGGAGTCGAGGATCAGAGACGCGCCTCAGCAGAAAGAGCTCGATCAGGTGAAGGAGCTCGTTGCCAAGTTGACCTCCGATCTCTCTGCGGCGAACGAGCGGGTAGCTCGTCAGGGTGAGCTCTTGAAGAAACACACCTCGCAGGAGGGTCGTGTGAAAGAGCTCGAGACCAGGGAGGCCGATCTCTTGCGCCAGCTGTCCCAGAATCAGGAGCAGATGGCGGCTTTGCAGAAGGAGAGCTCGAGTGCGCTGACGCAGTCGCTTCGCCTTAGCCGGGAGAACCAGGTACTCGTCGCCGAGAAGGACAACGTAGCTCGCCGTGCCAACCGCGCAGGTCGGAGGGAGATGGTCGCGAAGCATCGGGAAGTGCTTGAATCGGCTAAGGCAAAGTTCGAGGAGAAGAGGGTGGAAGGTGAGAAGGAGGGCGATCAGATCGAACTCCAATCCAACATCGATCTCCTTACGTCGCTGATCTCCGGTGCGATCAACCAGGAGGAAGAGCTCGCCAGGTTGAAGGGGCTCGAGGATGAGGTGGCCGAAGCAGCCAAGGCGGCCCAAGTCTCCGATTTCTCGATCGGGAAGTTAACCTTCCCGTGGTTTCGGAGGACTCGGTCGCGCGCATGGAGATCGACCCATCGACGAGCATCCCGGTTGGCTTGAACCCGTTCGGGACGAATGCCGAAGAGAAGGGAAGCAACGAGGAGGAAGAGAAGGAAGATGAAGAGATGACCGTCGAGGACTGAGCTCTTGGTCGACCTCTTTCTATCTCTACTCCTTTTTCAATTTATTTTAAGACTTGGTTGCCCGGCGGGGTTTTTACGCTTTATGTTTCGGATTTGGTGCCTGGGAAGGCTTTTATCCACAAACTCGTTTGCCCGCGGGGGCTTTTAATGTTTTGGCCTTAGGCGTTTTGCCTTAGGCGTTTTGCTCAAATTGTTTTGCAACTTTCATTTAGCTCGCGTTTTACTTGCCAAAATGTTTTGAGGCTTTTTGACTAAGTGTTTTGGCCGGTCGAGAGACCAGGGCCAAGATGTACTTTAGTCGGAGGTCGAATCGATCCGTTTAGGTTGATTCAACACTTAGAATATTTTTACTAGTTTTGGCCGATCGTGTGTCGAGCTAAACGTAGTTTTAGGTCGAATCGAGTCCGACTCGGGACGATTAGATCGATTCAACACTTAGGCGAATTTTTACTAGTTTTGGCTGATCGCGTGGAACGAGCTAAACATAGTTTTAGGTCGAATCAAGTCCAATTCGGGACGATTAGATCGATTCAACACTTAGGCGAATTTTACCGATTTTCGTCGATCGCACGGATCGAGCTAAACGTGGTGTTTATTCTTTTTCGAGCTCTTTGGCGAACTGATGTAGCTCGCGCTTTGCGGAGTTGTTTTCCCGTCTTTCGATCGAGGTGTTTCTTATTCGGCTTTTGGAGATGGAATTTATTACCTTTCGAAGTTCGTCTTGGTTTTGTCGCTTCGCCGATAGTGTTCCGAGCTAATCGTGAACTTTAGGTCCGTCTGGATGGCTCGGCTTCGTGTTAGATTTCGGGCTGTCTCTGGGTCTTCGGTTCTACGATTGCTAGAACACTACGCTGGATGCTTGGACGCTGCGGACTTCGATTGGTTTTTTGCGAAGTAAGAAATTGAAGGTAAAGAGGTGGACTCTGAACCTCACTTCGTTCGAAAGGGGAATATCGAGGTGATCTCGATCTTCCGATCTGTTTTGAGACGAGAGAAAGAGCTCGATTTCTTTTCAGGTCACGCAAGATCAGGCGTTTTCGACGTAAATTGATACGCTTAAGTAATTCGGAATTTCTTAAGGACTTGCTGAGTCGATTCGAGCAATTCGTAGCGATAAACATAGAAAACATTTTATTTAAGTATAATATTCGAGATGATACAAATCGAGCCCGTTTTAGGGCCGGCCAATGAGGTCGTCTCAAATAAAACGAAGTAAATTCGGATTGGGGCTGGACTCGTGGTTGAGCTGCCTACGTACCCCCAGGGAAGGAGGATCAAGCCTAAACGTAGTTCGAGGGGTGGAGATACTCTAGATTAGATCCTTTTCAGTGATAGTACCTTTTCAGGTTCATCGCATTCCAAGGTCTTAGTTCAGGTATTCCGTTTCTGACTTTTGTGAGCTTGTAGACGCCATCGCGAACTACTTCGGTAATGAGGTAGGGACCTTCCCATTGGTCCCAAGTTTCCCTGCATTGCGCTCTTTGGTATAGTCTTGTACTTTTCTCAGAACCATGTCGCCTATACGAAAGCTCCGGTGTTTAACCTTGGAGTTGTAATAGCGAGCTGCGGCCTGTTGATAGTTTTGTATCCGGATCAGAGCTTGATCTCGACGTTCGTCGATAAGGTCAAGGTGATCTCTCAACATTTCTTCGTTCAGCTCGACGTTCGCTGGACATTGCATCCTGCGAAGACTTGGAACGGAAGTTTCAGTTGGGATGACGGCCTCTAGCCCGTAAGCTAATGAGAACGGGGTCTCATGAGTAGCTTTGTGAGGTGTAGTTCGGCAAGCCCAAAGAACTGCTGCGAGCTCTTCGGACCACCTATGTTTACGGGCGTCGAGTCGTTTCTTGAGGTTACTCAAGAGGGTTTTGTTTGTTGCTTCAGCTTGCCCGTTCCCTTGAGGGTAACGAGGTGTGGAATACGTTATGCGTATGTTCCACTTCTTGCAGAAGTCTTTGAATGTTCGAGCTATGAACTGAGATCCGTTATCTGTCACGATCTCGAAAGGGAGCCCGTGTCGACAAATGATGTCTTTCCAGATAAATTTCCGGACCTCGAGTTCGGTCGTTTGTTGGTATGGTTTGGCCTCGATCCATTTAGTGAAGTAGTCAGTAAGGACTAATAGGTATTGGAATTGCTTCGGTCCCGAAGAGACCATAGGTCCTATTATGTCCATAGACCACCTCATAAAAGGATAAGGTGAAGAGATCGATGAGAGTGTTTCAGCTGGGACGTGAATGCTTGGGGCGTGCCTTTGGCATTTGTCACATCGCCTGGAGTACTGTTCGCAGTCTCTGATCATCGTCGGCCAGAAGTAGCCTAGCTTTTTAATCCGTATGACGAGAGCTCGGCCTGCGGAATGACTTCCGCAAGGTCCTTGATGAGTCTCGTGCATTACGGTGTAAGCTTCTTCGCCATGGATGCATGTTAGATATGGTTCGATAAGGCTTCGCTTGTAGAGCTTATCTTCCATCATGCAATAATGTGCGCTTTGGGCTTTTAGCTTGCGAGATGCCCATTTTTCGTTAGGGACGGCTCCGAGCTGGATATACTCGATTATAGGGAGTTCTCCAGTCGGGTCTCGCAGCGAACTCTTCCTTTAAGGTGAGTTCGTTCGCCATAGCAGATGGGACGGTATGGATCGTGGACTCTTGCGTATTTTGCGAAGAGTCCGAATCGATATACCTTGTTTTTTGCCTATCTTGGTCAGGTTCTTCCTCCTCGGAATCAGGTTCCGGGTTAGATGGTCCCGGATCTTGGGACTGTCTAGTTTGAGAACGAGTAGACGGGCGCGAGGTAATTGCGTTTATACTGTCAGACTTGAGTGCGATGTCGATGCTAGGTTTATCTATGCCTTCGACTGGGATCACACGTCTTACAGTTGGGTCCGAAGTGGAGGCGAGAGCAGCTAAGGCGTCAGCCGAAGTGTTCTCTCCCCTAGGCACCCTAGTTAGTTCGAATTTACTGAATTGTCCAGCTAAATCTCGAACTACTTTGAGATAAGCTTCCATGCGCTCCTCTTTTGCTTCGTACTCGCCGCTGTATTGGCTAGTAACGAGCTGGGAGTCGCTGAATGCGTTGATCTCATTCACGCCGATCCCGATTGCGAGTCGGAGTCCGGCTATGAGTGCCTCGTATTCGGCCTCATTGTTAGAGGCGACGAATCCGAGTCTGAACGATTGTTCGATCACTTCTCCGGTTGGAGATGTGAGTTTGATTCCGACGCCAGCTCCTTGTTTGGACGAGGCTCCATCTACGAAGAGTGTCCAAACTTTAGAGAGGGTGGTATCGTTATTGGCTTCCGGTGCCAGCTCGATCATGAAATCAGCTAGTACCTGGGCTTTAGCACAGGTTCTAGTTCGATATTCGATGTCGTATTCGCTGAGCTCGATAGCCCATTTAGCTAGTCGTCCAGATTGACTTGGACTATGTAGCATAGTTCGCAATGGTTGCGAGGTCATCACCACGATTGTGTGTGATTGAAAGTAAGGTCGCAGCTTGCGAGCGGACATTACTATTGCTAAGGCAAGTTTTTCCATAGCTGGGTATCTAGTCTCGGCATCAATCAGGGATTTACTTACGTAAAAGATTGGTCTTTGTTCGTTTAGCTCTTCACGAACTAAGACCCCGCTGACCGCTGCAGGCGAGACCGCGATGTAAAGGTATAGCGGTTCTCCTTCTACTGGTTTTGCCAGTATAGGAGGTTCGCTGAGGTAAGTTTTGAGCTGTTTGAAAGCTTCTTCGCATTTTTCGTCCCAGAGGAATTTTTTATTTCCTCGGAGGAGCTGGTAAAATGGAAGACACTTGTCGGTTGACCGGGAAATGAACCTATTAAGGGCTGCTATTCGACCGGTTAACCGTTGTACTTCTCTAGTATTTTCTGGAGAAGGCATATCTAAGAGGGCAGAGATTTGCTTCGGGTTCGCCTCGATTCCGCGTTCAGTTACTAGGTAACCGAGGAACTCGCCAGACGGAACTCCGAATGTACACTTAGTCGGGTTCAGCTTCATGCCGTACTTGTTAAGTATGGAGAAGCATACCCGGAGCTGTGCGACGTGGTCTGTTTCCCTAGAGGATTTGACCAGCATATCGTCTATGTACACCTCCATTGTTTTACCGAGCTGATCGGCAAACATTTTGTTTACGAGGCGCTGATATGTAGCTCCCGCGTTTTTTAGCCCGAATGGCATTACTTTGTAGCAGTAAGTACCTCGGTCTGTTATGAAAGCTGTTTTCTCCTGATCTTCTGGGTTCATCTTGATTTGATTATACCCAGAAAACGCATCCATGAAGGATAGGAGCTGGTGACCAGCCGTAGCTTCGACCAAGCGATCTATATGAGGAAGTGGATAGCTGTCTTTTGGACAAGCTTTATTAAGGTCTGTGAAATCGATACAGACTCTCCACTTTCCGTTTTTCTTTTTGACAACTACAGGATTAGCTACCAGTCGGGGTATTTCACCTCTCTGATCGAGCCTACCTTGAGTAGTCGGTCTACTTCGTCGTTTACTGCTTTAGCCCGATCTGGGCCGAGTTTTCGACGTTTTTGTTTCATGGGTTTGAACGTGGGATCTACGTTCAGCTCGTGAGACGTGATCCTAGTGTCAATCCCGGGCATGTCCGCGGTGGACCATGCGAATGTGCTGATGTTTTCCTTTAGGAAGGCGATCAGCTCGTCACGGATAGGTTTTGCGAGATCGATTCCGATACCAACGCGCCTTTCGGGGTCGGTTTCGTCGATGCAAACCTGAGTGACCAAGTCTTTTCGAGGTTCGCGGACGGTCGGATCTTTGCCATGTTTGATCTGCCGAATCGCGAGCTCCTCTTCTTTCTGTAATTGCTATACTGGCGATTTTTCAGCTCGCAAGTAGCTGCCCATATAGCAATCTCGGGAAGCTCGTTGGCAACCGCGAATTGTTTTTGTCCCCCAAGGTGTAGGGAACTTGACGCATTGGTGGTAAGTGGATGCAACTGCTTTCATGGTGTAGAGCCACGGCCTGCCGAGAATGGCATTGAATGGCGCGGGGCGATCTACGACCACAAAGTCAACTGTTTTCGTTATACCACCTGCTTTGATTGGGAGCTGGATAGTTCCCATGGAATAGGTCGTTTCTCCTGCGAACCCAGTTAGGGGCGTACGGCCTCCTATGAGTGCGGAGTTTTCGAATCCCATTCGCTTGAAAGCATCGTAGAACAGCACGTCTACAGAGCTTCCTGTGTCTATCATGACTCTGGTCAGCTCGAATCCGGCTACGGCGAGCTCGATTACGAGTGCATCGTCATGAGGTTTATCGAGTGCGAGTGTTTCGCTTTCTCGAAATTTGATTTCGTGATCAGGTCCGTCTAGAGGACGTGGTTGTCCAGATGACTCGACCCGTCGCTGATGTGCTTTGATCGAGTTAATCGAGTCTTTGCACATCTTCGAGCCACCGCAAATGAAGTCAATTCGTTTAGGGGTAGGTGGCTCTACTCCCCCCGAGAGCTTGTGAAGTCTGCGTAAGCAAGAGATCGCAATGCTCTTAGTATCGGGTCTGGAGGTAGGTGATGTAACAGGCGAGCTTCTGTAAGAATGCTCTATCCCCCCGACAAGTCTAGGAGGTCTGTGTGAGCTAGAGCTCGTAGCCTTTCTAGGAGCGGGTGGGGGGGTGACCACGGATCTCGTTGAGCCGCCGCAAAGGCTGAGCTCTCCGAAGATTAGGTCGATTCTTTTCCTGTTAGAAGGAGGGGAATCGGGGGCTTCGACCTCGACTTCGCGTTCTCTTTTCTGAGGTGCGTTGTCGGAGTCTTTAGCTGGTTTGGGTTTTGGCTTTTCGGCCTTAACCGCGGTTTCAGCTGTTTTGCTTTTTCCCTTCTTTTTGCTAGACTTTTTGCCTTTAGCACGGCATTCCTCTGTGGAATGGCCGTTTGTATTGTGAATATCGCAGTGTTTCTCTTCTTCCTCCGAGCTCTTTATGGGAGCTGAAGTTTCGATAGAGTAGGAATGTTGTCCTTTACTCTGCGAAGGTGGTTTAGCTGGTGCAGTTTTCTTAGCACCTGGTGGAGCATATGCGAGCTCCCCTTTGAGGTATTTTTCTCTGAGGAGAGCTGTGTCTTCCTCGAGAGTTGCGAATGCTGATGCGCGATGTAATGCGTCATCTAGTGAAATTGTAGGTCGAACAGTTAGTTCTTCTCTAAATTTCGATTCGTACCACAAGTTGTTTTTGAGGGCAAGTAGAGCTACTGCCTCATTAGGGTTTGTGATCTTAGCTTTGACTGATTTGAATCTGTCAATGTAAGATCGAAGTGATTCCTTTGGACCTTGAGAAAGTCTCCAAAGGTCTGCTTCCGTAATTTTAGATTCGATGAAGATCGAATACTGTTTTAGGAAGGCTGATTGGAGCTGGTCGAAATTATCGATTGAGTTTTCGTCCAGCGTTGAGAACCATTCTTGAGCTGGTCCGATCAGGTTCTCAGCGAAGAGCCTGCAGTAGGCTGCTTCTATCTCTTCTGGAGAGAAAGGAACTCGAGATACGACGAGGTTAAAAGCTCGCATGTAAGCTCTCGGATCGCTGTTACCAGAGTATTCTGGGATACGCAGCTTGCTGGTATCTCGAATATAGGTACTTTTGATCCTGAGTGAAAAAGGAGTTCGTCTAGACTCTTTAATCACTCTGTCGATATCAGGAGCTGAGCTCGTTGCTTGATGAAACATTGAGCTCATATGCTGAAACGCGAGGTCTGTGCGATCTTGGAATCTTTCGAAAGATTCGCTGTCGACGAGGTTACGCAGATCAGCTGGATTCCGATTAGCTGGAATCGGATATGGCGGAGCTTGATTGTGAAATCGTTAGCTCCTTGGTTGAGCTCGATTGGGCTGACCGTTCGAGCTAGGGAATTGTTGATAATTCCCGTTCACGTGCTCTCGCGCTGTTGCGGAGGGCTGTGAACCGTATGTGCGCCTAGCTGATTCTCGAACTGAGGCATTGCCTGCGAGCTCGAGGCAAAAGCTGAAGCGCCAAACCACCTAGGCCTAGCTGGATCGGTACCAGGTGGCCCTGGGGGTGGAGATGAGAGCGGAACGTTTGGTTGAGCTCTCGTCTCGCTTGGGTGCGAGCTCGTTATTTATGCCAACTGGTGGCGAGCTCGGCGGTGGACCGAAAGTCTGAGAGACTTGAGGTCGCGAAGGCGTAACGAATTGCGCCTGAGGTACGCCAGATGCGTAGATCGTCGAAAAATCGAGCTGAGTCCGCGGAGGCGGGCTAGTGATGTTTCGAGATTCAGCGAGGCGTCTCTCATGTCTCTCCAGCCTAGTTTCGTGGTCGCGCTGACCGTTTACCAGGTTGGTGAGAAGCTGTTTGATCTGTGCCAGATCATCTGGACTAGCTCGCGGAGGAGTTGCGTCGCAGATGCAGGTCGAACAGGAATAGTCCGACTCTGTGGAGTCACAGTTGTTGGGGGATCTTCCGATCTGACCCAAACTCGAGAGAGAGGTCT